CCGGCACTTGTCCCTGCGGGTGGCCGTCGGCTGGAGAACCGTCCACTTCCACATCGTGCCTGTGGTGAGGAGACGTGGGGCTCCCGCCCCGGAGGGAGCCCTGCTGATGCCTGGATTCCCAGAGGGCAGCTTGACAAGGGTCCTCAGCCACGGCGTGGACCTGGTGCCAGCCAGTGCCCAGCACTGGAGGTAGGTGCCCACCCTCTGGGCTGTGGGCTGCCTGCTCCCGGTCCCAAGGGTCAGTGACAGGGGCCTGGAGGGTTGGGGTTCCATCGGAGCTGTGGGGAGGGTGTGGCTGCGTCCTCCTGGTGGGGTGACCACAGCACCCCCAGAGGAGGGATTGGCGAGACCAGGGGGGCAGACAGCACAGCTGGACGGGCCTTGGTGCGGAGGGCGGGCCCAGGATGAGCGAGGACACCATGTGGCAAGGGCGGCCGGACCCACCACCCGGCCAGCACCCTGCTGCCCCCAGGTCATGGCCCTGCCTGGCCCCACCTGCTGTGCAGCCCCTGCCCTCCCCACAGTTCTGCCCTGCCTGGCCGCCATGAGAGAGCTGACAGCTGCCCCAGTCTGGGCTCATGAGCGAGAAGGCAGGGCTGTGGGCTGAGGCTGGGCTTCCTCTGAGGTCCCAGTAGCACCAGGAACAGAGCCCCTGCAGGTCCGGCCCGCTCAGGCTGCAGCTGGGATGCCAGGGCATGGTGGTCTGTGCAGCAGACCTGCCAGACAGCGCACATGGGAGCGGGCACTCGCGGGAGGAGACGCACACGGGGGTGGGGGGAGACACACATGGGGGAGACGCACACATGGGGGGACACACACGGGGGAGACACACACACAGGGGGATGTGCACACGGGGGAGATGCATACAGGGGAGACGCACACACGGGGGGACGCACACAGGAGGAGGTGGTCCCTGGAAATCACGAGTCCTGGGTCTGAGGGGACCGTCCTATGAGGGCAGCAGGCGCTGGGGCCCCTCTGTCCCTGGGGGCGGAGTGCCAGGTAGCGGCACTCCGAGGACCCCAGGCCTGACTACATGGATCGGCTTGCCTTGCAGGCCCTCCACCGACTACCTGCTCACCAGGCTGCTGGGTGCACTGGACTCCCTCCAGGGCCACCGCCTGGACAGTCTCTCCATCCTGGACCGGGTGAACCACGAGAGCTGGCGGGATGGCGGCCAGAGTGCCGGCCTGACTTTCGGCCACCTGAAGGTGCGTACGGCGGGCTGTCCATGGGCGGTCCGGAGCTGGGGTGAGGGCTGTGTGGGTGCGGCACTTGGTCAGCCCTCCTCACAGTCCCAACCGTGTCTGGCGGGTCCTGAGGTCTCGTGTGTGCTGAGAGGCAAGAGCGAAGCCAGGCAGGACACGGCCATGGAGGCTACAGTGCCTCTGGCCAGCCCTCGCCATCCTCAGCTGATGGCCTTGGGGTCCCCGCAAGCCTGGGACATGGCTCAGTCGGAACTCGGGCAGGCCAGGTCTGCCCCGTGTCTGCTTGGAAGGCCCTACTAGGTCCCTCTCTGGTGGAACAGCTCCCCACGCGTCCCCCTGCAGCTCGCTGCGCCCGGGGCCGCTGTAAGACCTGCAGGACAAGTAGCGGAGGCTGTGGCCACTGCACTCTGCCACCGGCCCACTGGAGTGCTGGGCTGCAGGCCGCTCACCTGACCCCACCCCATCTGCTTCCTCCTGGCATCAGGAGGTGGCCCTGCCCACGGCCCTCGGTGGCCTTGGCCACTCACCATTCTCTCGGCCCCGACCTGAGCTGGGGCCGCAGCGTCCGAGCCCCATGGGGGCCAAGCTCCACTGGGTAGAGGGGCTGTGAGGCCAGTGGAAGGACAGGGGCTTGGGGACCCAGGAAGGCAGCAAGTGGCTGGGGAAGACCTAGCCAGGGCCTTAAAAGGAGGGCCGGGTGACACTGTTCCCTTGGCTTTTGGATGGCTGCCTGGGCCCAGCCACCAGGAGTACACGGGAGCTGTGAAGCCACCTTGGGATTGGGCACTGCGGGTTGGACCATAGGGGTGAGCAGGGGCTCAGAGGGGCAGGCCAGGGCTTGAGGGAAAGGCCCAGTGGATGGTGGGAGCCCCAGATGCCCTAGGAGGTCCTAGGAGGCTGGTGTGGGGGGAGCCGTGGGGTCCCCACGATTAGGCTGAGGCCTGGGAGGTCGGGGGAGGAACAGAGGGGGTCAGGGAGACTGGAAGGCGGGCAGACAGGGGTGCCATGGGGCAGGACCTGTGGAGAGGTGCCCCCCCCCCCCTGCCGTACCCCCCGCCCCCTGTAGGCCGTGCTGTTGTGGGCTGCTGTGCTATTCCCAGAGCCCCAGGACTGGGCAGAGCTGCAGGGCGCGGTGTACCGCCTGCTGGTGGTGCTTCTCTGCTGCCTAGCCACCAGGAACCTGCCCCACCCGCTCTGCCCGGATTGCAACCTGCTGCAGGGCTCCGGCCTGGACCTGGGCGCCATCTACCGGCGCGTGGAGGCCTTTGCCAGCCAGCCCGAGGCATCCCTGCGCATCCACGCCACCCACCTGGGCCACAGCCCCCCACCACGCATCAGCGCTGGAGTCAAGGCGCTCTTGCAGCTGCCCGCCAGTGACCCCACCTACTGGGCCACCGCCTACTTCGACGTCCTGCTGGACAAGGTGGGCCGGTGGGCTGGGGGCCCTCAGGCAGACAAAGGGCCATCCAGGGCCGGGACAGAGCCCAGTCCAGCTCCCTGGTCCTCTCCTCCTGGGTCAGAAGCCCGAGGAAGGCTGGGGCAGGGCCTGGCCTTTGCCCCAAGCATCTGTCGGGGAAACATGATGTCCGAGGGTCAGATGAGCCATGAAATGCCCTCGCCCCCCCTAAAGGCCCCCGGGCTCAGGGCTCAATGTCCGAGACTCCTTTTCGGAAATGTGGCCCTAAGTCTGGCGGGGGGGACGGCCTGACCCTGTGCTCACAGCAGGCCTGTGTCACAGCAGGGGCCACCGTTGGCCTTGGCCAGCACTCATCCGACCTCCTCTGTGTCAGGCCCATGTGGGGTCAACCTGTGGGTGGGGCAGGGCTACCGGTGAGAGGGTGCTGGTCCGGCCCACTGGAGGGGGTGACTGTCCGGCAGGTGCTCAGAGGCAGGAAGCCCGGTCAGGTGGGCAAGGTGACCCAGGCCCCGTGATGCTCAGCTGGCTCCCCGGTGTCCTGGTAACACCCCCCCCACACACACCTTAGTTCCAGGTCTTCAACATCCGGGACCAGGACCGGGTCTCAGCCATGCAGAGCGTTTTCCGGAAGACCAAGGCCCTCGCTGGAGAGGACTGCTGAGCCGAGCTGCCTGCCTGCGGGCCCCGTTTCCCCCTGCCGGCCCCGTCCCCCGGGGGCTGGAGAGGACTGCTGACAAGTCGTCCCCCCTGCCACCCCGTCCCCTACCGGCCCCATCCCCTGGGGGCTGGAGGACGGGATGGGCTTTCCTGTGGTGCATGGCGGAGGGGCTGTGCCGGGGACTGCCCTGCCTGTCCAGGGCATGGCCTCATGTGGTCCGAGCCGGGCAGCTCGGCCTTCTGGGGCTGGGGCTGGCGGGGTCGCAGGCCTGGGAGAGGGCCTGTACTCACAGGTGTGTGTCTGTCATCCCAGTGAGGTCCACGAGGCCAGGACCTGGAGTCCGGGCCCGACCACAGCGGGTCTCCATGCGGAGACATTCACGCTGCGCAGGACGACACAGGGCGCTGTCCCCACTGGCCTCTCCCGGCAGGGACAGAAGTGGAGGTGGCACGTAGGGCCCACCGTCTCGATGCTCCTTCTTCTGCGGAAGACCCCGTGCCCAAGCACACCAGCCGTTCTCAGAGCAGGTGGGGACGCCCAAGCCCGGGCCGCCTCACCTCTCTGTGGCCTCCTGGGCCCTCAGCAGGTGAGGCCTCAGTTCCACCGCAGGGCGGACAGCACCCGCTCCTTCCGGGGCCGTGGCCTGGTGCCCACTTCTGAGGCTGTGGGGAGCGGGGCCATGGCCCGCACCAGCACCAGGGCACAGACGCTGTCACGCCCTGCTCATCAGAGTGGCTGCTGGTGGGCTGCGGACTCTGACCGACGGGACTGGGACGGGACGCCTACGCGAGGTGCTCTTTCCAGAGGGTGGGAGAGAGCCCCGGGCGAGGTTTCTGGGGCTGAGGCCCCGTGTGCAGAGGGAAGCTGCTGAGGTCCAGGAGGACTTCTGCCCCGCCCCGCCCCCTGTGAAGAGCGCCAGCAGCGTGGTGGCCCCAGGAGCTGGCAGCTGCACGCCCCTCGCTTATGACGTCCGTGGACTGATGCCTGGAGCTGTGCTGGGGCCGAGCCCTGGGCCAGCAGGCTCGTGCCGGAGCCGTGGGCCAGCAGGCTCGTGCCGTGTTAGCCCTGCTGCTGGCGGCTGTACGCCACGCCTCTGGAAACCCAGGCGTGGCGGCCGTGGTACTGTCCGTGGAGGAGCACGTGGCCTGCCGTGGCGGTGCCCAGACCAGGGTTGGGCGTGCTGTTGGCTCTGAGAGGAGAGCCCTGGCTGGGGCAGCTGGGGTGCCCCCTCTT